GACGTGAGCAGTGACTCACGAGAGCTCCTGCCATGCCACCTATTTTGTTAGTCTTCAAGGCGCTGCTGGACGCTTGGCTCTTTTTCCTTAACAGAGGAAATGGCAAATCCAGCCCTTTCCTAAAACTGCATGTGTAGTTATTCGTTGGAAGGGACCGAACCCCAATCGGAAAACCAGCCATTATAGCTGCCACTTTAGGGAGGGGGGTGGGGGTGCCCGTGTGGGGACTGAGAAGCCAAGCATTGGACTGAGCAGCGTTAGAACGATGGACTGAGCAAAATCCCCCAATTTCAGAGTTTGGAGCAGTGTGATCTTCCGCAAAGCAGACCTCCGGCAGGCAAAGCCAGCTTCCCATTACAAGTATGTACTCTAGGGGTCCCCAACATCGTGCCCGCCAGCACTGTTCCTGGTGCCAGCCAACTGTTTTCAGAAAGTGGGTGGGGCCCCTGCCCCCTGCCCAGCAGGGCTTCTGATTGGCCATTGGTAATCTGATTATGCAGATTTTTAGCTGCCACTACGGCACAAGGATCTATGCCATCTGACTGAGGGTCAGCTGCCACAGCTTAGAGGGAGCATTGCGAGTGGCAACCCTCGGGGTATTCCAGGCAGAGCCTCCAAGGTCTTCAAACTTATGTTCTCCGGGGCAGCCCTAAGGTGGGGCTGATGCTCTGCACAGTCAAGATCCCGGCGCAATCCAAGTTAAGAGGTCTAAGAAGCTGCAGAAGTTCTGTCGGCCAGCACTACACTACGCGGTCTGACTCACGGTGGACAAACCCTCTCTACGCACGAGACGTTTTGGAGGTATGGCTCTGGGTGCTTGGAGATCAGCCACCGGAAGACCGCAGAGGGCAGAAGCCCCCACTAGATTCTGAACCAGCAGAGTCGGGGTACGGAGTCTTGACTCCCCGCCCCCCTCAGTTTAAGAGTCTTCTTTGGTCCCAGGTTGGTCCAGGGCGGGCTCTTTCCTTTGCTACCAGAAGGTCCACGGGGGCTGCATCAGTTCGTAAGTCGGGATGCTGGTGACGTTGACAGGGATGGATATCACGGCCCAGGGGAGCCCGTGCTGCTCCAAGGAACGCCGGATCATGTACCTGGAAAGGGGACCAAATGGGACTCGGTGGCTCAAGGGGTTAAGACGCTGAACTGCAGGCTGTGGAAGGTCGGTAGCTCGGCAGTTCGAGACCCGAGTGCCGCGTGACGGCGTGAGCTCCCGTCTCTAGTTCCAGCTCCTGCCAACCTAGCAGTTCGAAAGCAAGAAATTGCAAGTAGATCAATAGGTACCACTTTGGTGGGAAGGTAACAGCGTTCCGTGCGCCTTGGTGTTTAGTCATGCCGGCCACATGACCACGGAAACGTCTTCGGACAGCGCTGGCTCTTCGGCTTGGAAACGGAGATGAGCACCGCAACCCTAGAGTCAGATTCGACTGGCTTTTGAGCAAGGGAATCTTTACCTTTACCGTGATCCAGGTAATACCTTTCATTAGGACCAACCCCGTGACACGCAACAGACCGCATGTTTTCAAGCTCGCCGGAAAGGCAGATGCTACAAAATGAAACGTTTAAAAATAAGTATTCCGTGGAGACACGCGAACATACGAGATGGCCTGCACCTGGGAATGAACAAAATCAACAAAACGGATACCGCAGGTAGGATAACCTCTGACCACTACATTGGCTCAGTGGTAGAGCCTCTGCTTGGCATGCAGAAGGTCCCAGGTTCAATCCCTGGCATCTCCAGTTAAAAAGGACCAGGCAGGAGGTGATGGGAAAGACCTCCGCCTGAGACCCTGGAGAGCTGTTAACGGGAAGGCCGCTCAGTGGTAGATCATCTGCCTTGAATGCAGAAGGTCCCGGGTTCAGTCCCCGGCATCTCCAGCTGAAAGGACCAGGCAGGAAGTGATGGGAAAGACCTTGGCCCGAGACCCCGGAGAGCCATTGCCAGTCTTGAGTGGGCAACATTGACCTTGGTGGACCAGAGTTCTGATTCAGAGTAAGGCAGCTTCTGTATAAGGCAGACGGTGTAGCATTACCCAAGGTCAGAGATACAGCTGGTAGGCTGCAGGGGAGTTCACATTCAAGAGGTTGAGGGGCCACAGCTCAGAGCTTCTGCAGAAGGTCCCCAGTTCAATCCCCAGCATCTCCGCGTAAAAGCACTGGGCAGGAGGTGGTGTGAGAGACCTTTCTCTTCCTGAGACCCTGGAGAGCCGCTGCTAGTGTGAGTAGACAATACTGACATGGATGGACCAAGGCAGCTTTATGGGGAGGGGCTGTGGCTCAGTGGCAGAGCATCTGCTTGGCGTGCAGAAGGGCTCAGGCTCAATCCCCGGCATCTCCAGTTAAAAAGGACCAGGCAGGAGGTGATGGGAAAGACCTCAGCCTGAGACCCTGGGGAGCTGTAAAGAGGGGCTGTGACCCAGTGGAAGAGCCTCTGCTTGGCATGCAGAAGGTCCCAGGTTCAATCCGTGGCATCCCCAGCTAAAAGTACCAAGCAGTAGGTGATGGGAAAGTACTCTGCCTGAGACCCTGGAGAGCTGTTAAGAGGGGCTGTGGCTCAGTGGTAGAGCATCTGCTTAGCAGGCAGAAGGTCCCCGGTTCAATCCCCACCATCTCCAGTTAAAAAGGACCAGGCAGGAGGTGATGTGAAAGACCTCAGCCTGAGACCCTGGAGAGCTGTAAAGAGGGGCTGTGGCTCAGTGGTAGAGCATCTGCTTGGCAGGCAGAAGGTCCCCGGTTCAATCCCCACCATCTCTGATTAAAAAGGACCAGGCAGGAGGTGATGGAAAAGACCTCCGCCTGAGACCCTGGAGAGCTGTAAAGAGGGGCTGTAGCTCAGTGGACGAGCCTCCGCTTGGCAGGCAGAAGGTCCCAGGCTCAGTCCCCGGCATCTCCAGTCAAGAGGACCAGGCAGTAGGGGATGGGAATGACCTCAGCCAGAGATCCCGGGGAGTTGCTGCCAGTCTGAGTTGACAATACTGACCTTGTGGGACCACTGTGGGTCTGATTCAGCTTCATATGTGTTAAATGGCACTCTATAATACAGCTTACTCAATCGAATCCTATTCTATTCCTGGATGCACTCGTTTCAGTCCCACACAGTTTTATTTTTAATTCAATTATCATTTTGACAAGCTTCTTTGTCCTCTAAGGACGAGGAGGACAATCCCTGCAGCTCCACAATGTGTATGTCAACTTAAGAAAGCCAAGTGAGCTCAGGATCCATTCAGAACCCAAGCCCAATTCATTCGGGTTGACTGAGCCTCTTGCTGGGAGCATCAACATGCCTGGCAGAGCCAGACCAGGCGCCTTCTTTTGCAGTGGGCTGGGCGAGAATCCCACACACGAGCCGACATTTGGCCAGTCCACCACAAACTGACAGCTGCCCCCCCCCCCATGATCCGAGGCAGTCAACCTCTGAATCCCAGAGCCAGGAGGCAACATCAGGGGAAGGCCTCGGCCTCCCTGCCCTGTTGCTGGCCCTCCGGAGGAACTGGTTGGCCCCTGTGTGGGACGGGATGCTGGACTAGATGGACCCTCACTGGTCTGACCCAGCAGGGCTCTTCTGAGGTTCTTATCAGAGGAAGGCCTTGGCCTCTCTGCCCTGTTGTTGGCCCTACAGAGCTGTATGGCCCCTGTGTGAGACAGGAGGCTGGACTAGATGGACCCTCACTGGTCTGACCCAGCAGGGCTCTTCTGAGGTTCTTATCAGAGGAAGGCCTTGGCCTCTCTGCCCTGTTGTTGGCCCTACAGAGGAACTGGCTGGCCCCTGTGTGAGACAGGAGGCTGGACTAGATGGACCCTCACTGGTCTGACCCAGCAGGGCTCTTCTGAGGTTCTTATCAGGGGAAGGCCTTGGACTCTCTGCCCCGTTGTTGGCCCTCCAGAGGAACTGGCTGGCCCCTGTGTGAGACAGTATGCTGGACTGGATGGACTATTGGTCTGATCCAGCAGGGCTCTTCTGATGTTTTTATGATTCACCTTCTTCTGATTCCTGTTCTAGGATGCAAATAAATACAACAGTTTAGGAGTTTGCAAGTACTACCATGGAAGACATCAAGGTCAGTATCGTCCATTCAGACTGGCAGCCAGTCTCCAGGGTCTCAGGCCCAGAGGTCTTTCACATCACCTCCTGCCTGGTCCTTTGTACCTGGAGATGCCGGGGATTGAACCTGGGACCTTCTGTAAGCCAAGCAGAGGCTCTTCCACTGAGCCACGGCCCCTCTTTACAGCTCTCCAGGGTCTCAGGCTGAGGTCTTTCACATCACCTCCTGCCTGGTCCTTTCAACTGGAGGTGCCGGGGATTGAACCTGGGACCTTCTGCATGCCAAGCAGATGCTCTGCCACTGAGCCACAGCCCCTCCTGGGTTCAGGTACTGCATTTTGAGGGTGTAACTATCAGGTGGATGTTGTGTGTATGTGTGTAACTTTTCAGCCCTGCACCCTGAACTTCCCTGGGGTTCAATGAACTCCCCCAGCTACGGTCCAAATCAGGTCCACATAGAATCATAGAGTTGGAAGGGGCCTCCATGGTCATCTAGTCCAACCCATTGCACAATGCAGGAAATTCAGAAACACCCCCCCCCCCCCCCACACACACCACCAGTGACTGCTATTCCACACCCAGAAGATGACAAAAAATCTCCAGGCCTGGAGAAAAATGGCAAACTGGCCTGGAGAAAAATGGCTTCCTGACCCCAAAGTGGCAATCAGCATTTCTCTGGGCGTGTAAGAAAGGGCCACGAGAACTGAGCACTGAGGCAACCCTTCCTGCCCTCCCTTCTCGTGATCTGCTGAAGTCCACAGAATCCGCATTGCTATCAGAGGGCCATCTAGCCTCTGCTTAAAAACCTCCCAAGAAGGAGAGCCCACCTCCTTCTGAGGAAGCCTGTTCCCTGAGGAACTGCTGTGTCAGGAAGTTCTTCGTAATGTTTAGCGGAAAACTCTTTTGATTTAATTGCAACCCATTGGGTCTGGTCCGACCTTCTGGGGCTATAGAAAACAACTCCGCACCATTCTCTATAGGACAGCCGTTCAAGTACTTGAAGAGCGTTATCATACCACCTCTCAGTTGTCTCCTCTGCAGGATAAACACACCCAGCTCCTTCAGCCTTTCCTCACAGGACTTGGTCTCCAGACCCCTCACCATCTCCGTTGCCCTCCTCTAGACACGCTCCAGCTTGCCTGCATCCTTAAATTGTGGTGCCCAAAACTGAACGCAAGATTCTAGGTGAGGTCTAACCAGAACAGAGTAAAGCGATACCATCACTTCACATAATCTGGATACTATACTTCTGTTGATACGGCCCAAAATGGCATTTGCCTTTTTAGCAACTGCATCACACTGCTGACTCACGTTCAGTGTATGGTCCACTAAGACCCCTATATGCTACTGCTAAGACAAGTCTCCCCTGTCCTATAATGATGCATTTGATTTTAAATCTACCAAAATGTAGGACTTTACATTTATCCCTATTGAAATTTATTTTATTGGCTTCAGCCCCCTTTTCACAGCCTGTCAAGATCATCCTGTATCCTGACTCCATCCTGTACCATATTTGCTACCCCTCCCAATTTAGTGTCACCTGCAAATTTAATAAGCACTCCCTCTATTCCGTCATCCAAATCATTGGTAAAGATGTTGAACAAAACAGGGCCCAGGAGAGCAAATCCATCAGAATCGGCTGCTCCAAAAAAACAGCTGCTGTGCACACAGCTGTGTTTATGCAATCTATGTATAGACATACTTATTCTCCCCGTGACAAAGTGTGTGTCACGTGTAGTTTCAGGATTCTGCTCTCCCCAGCCCACACAGCCGCTCAGAAAAAAGCAAACCTGAAACTCAGCTGCTGGAGGTTGAAACAGGGGCGGGGGGGGGGGGAGG